CGGAAGAGAGTCCTCTTTTCTCATCTTGGCCAGTTTTCTGTGCCCAAGAATCCTTCTCTTGCCTTTCAACAATCTAACAGAATGGATTCTCTCTCTTCACCTGTGTCTCCACCCGCTACTCTTAATGAGGATTTCTCATCAACATTTCAATTGGATCTACTCTTTCTCAGCTTAAAATACCCTCTCCTCAACTACATGGCACATTTTAATATTAACATTTTCAGTATCATTAACAGTATTACTATCAGTACAATCTATAAAACTTTTTGAGGTACAGCCTCATCAACTTTCCTTTTCCTGTGCGCTAGAATCGAATTGCATTGTAAAATAGTTTCAAGGTTACCTAGCACCCTACTGCCAGCAGGTGGCTCTGTGTCAAAAAGGGAAAAAGGAAACAAAAATACGAATTGTGAGAGTATAAGCTAAGATTTGGACCCAGGTTCCTGTCATTACTCCTTATTCTAGTTGTATCTTAATAGTTACCACCTGAAAGCTTTCTGTCTTTTCTACTTATTTTGTTTATACCTCAGTAGTTACCACCTGAAAGCTTTCTGTCTTTTCTACTTATTTTGTTTAGACCTCAGTAGTTACCACCTGAAAGCTGTTTACTATCCAGTGAAGAAGAGGATATCCATGAAGGAACAAACAACTAAAACACTAAAATAAGTCAACAGTTCTTTCAAGGAGATTTCAAATGTGCCCCAGATCTATAATGAGATGTTGGCTTGGGCTTGAAAAAAATGTTTTGTATTTTTTTTAAATTTAATTTTATTTATTTATTAATATAGTCAAAAAGGTAAGAGGGAAAGAAAATGGCAAGTACATTAAAAGAAACTATTGTTTTACCTTGATTTTCTGGAACTAGGGCAGAAAGAAAGGCTTTGAATATTACTCACATGTCCAGCAAATATTGACATATATTATAAAATTAATATCTGTGCACACCAACCATGCCAACATATAGAACATTATCCAGCTCTTGAAGGATATGTGAACAAATTTCCTTTTTCCCAGAGGTAATGTTGTTCTGATTTTCATGTTTATAATTTTTGTCATTTCCTTTCTTTTTTTTTTGCTTGTTTTTTAAATTTTTGAATTTTATTTTATTTTATGTTTTATTCAGCAGGTTCTTATTAGTCATCAGTTTTATACACATCAGTGTATAAATGTCAATCCCAATGGCCTGATTCAGCACACTACCATCCCCACCCCCTGCAGCTTTTCCCCCTTGGTGTCCATATGTTTCTTCTCTACATCTGTGTCTCAACTTCTGCCCTGCAAACCGATTTATCTGTACCATTTTTCTAGGTTCCACATACATGTGTTAATATACAATATTTGTTTTTTTCTTTCTGACTTACTTCACTCTGTTTGACAGTCTCTAGATCCATCCACATCTCAACAAATGACCCAATTTCATTCCTTTTTAGGGCTGAGTAATATTCCATTGTATATATGTACCACACCTTCTTTATCCATTCGTCTGTCAATAGGCATTTAGGTTGCTTCCATGACCTGGCTACTGTAAATAGTGCTGCAATGCATACTGGGGTGCATGCGTCTTTTTGAATTATGGTTTTCTCTGGGTATATGCCCAGTAGTGGGATTGCTGGATAATATGGTAATTCTATTTTTAGTTTTTTAAGGAACCTCCATACTGTTGTGCATA